CGGCCCTGGAGGTGGGCAGGGGTCAGGGGAGGATCTGGATCTGGGGCCCGCGGGACAGCCCCCGGGGAGGGCCTGGACCCGGGCCGGGGGCCTGGGGCCTGCGGGACGGCCCCCGGGGAGGGCCTGGACCCGGGGCCAGGGGAGCGCCTGGGGCCCGCGGGACAGCCCCCGGGGAGGGCCTGGACCCGGGGCCGGGGGCCTGGGGCCCGCGGGACAGCCCCCGGGGAGGGCCTGGACCCGGGGCCGGGGGCCTGGGGCCCGCGGGACAGCCCCCGGGGAGGGCCTGGACCCGGGGCCGGGGGCCTGGGGCCCGCGGGACAGCCCCCGGGGAGGGCCTGGACCCGGGGCCGGGGGCCTGGGGCCCGCGGGACAGCCCCCGGGGAGGGCCTGGACCCGGGGCCAGGGGAGCGCCTGGGGCCCGCGGGACAGCCCCCGGGGAGGGCCTGGACCCGGGCCTGGGGCCTGGGGCCCGCGGGACGGCCCCCGGGGAGGGCCTGGACCCGGGGCCTGGGGCCTGGGGCCCGCGGGACAGCCCCCGGGGAGGGCCTGGACCCGGGGCCGGGGGCCTGGGGCCCGCGGGACAGCCCCCGGGGAGGGCCTGGACCCGGGGCCTGGGGCCTGGGGCCCGCGGGACAGCCCCCGGGGAGGGCCTGGACCCGGGCCGGGGGCCTGGGGCCCGCGGGACAGCCCCCGGGGAGTGCCTGGACCCGGGCCGGGGGCCTGGGGCCCGCGGGACAGCCCCCGGGGAGGGCCTGGACCCGGGCCGGGGGCCTGGGGCCCGCGGGACAGCCCCGGGTCGGCGGGCGAGCGGGCTGGGACCCCGCCGCAGCCGCGCCGCCCTGCCGCCCCCAGGTGCTGTGCGACTTCCCCCACACGGCCGCGGCCGTGCCCCCAGACTATCTGCTGGACCTGGTGCCCCCGATCCGGCCCCGGGCCTTCTCCATCGCCTCCTCTCTGCGGGTGAGAGAGGGAGGGCCGGCCTCGCGGGGGCGGGGGGACCCCGGGGCAGGGCACCCACTCTGCGCTCCCCCAGGCCCACCCCGCGCGGCTGCAGATCCTGGTGGCCGTGGTGCAGTACCAGACCCGCCTCCGGGAGCCCCGCCGTGGCCTCTGCTCCAGCTGGCTGGCGTCCCTGGACCCTGCGCGAGGTGACCCTGGCTCTTTGGGGTAGGGGGCTGGGCCCTGGCCCTGCGAGCCTCTTCAAGCCGCCTCCCTCATGCCATAGGACCTGTCCGGGTGCCCCTGTGGGTGCGGCCTGGGGGCCTGACGTTCCCAAAGACGCCAGACGTGCCTGTGATCATGGTGGGGCCCGGCACCGGCGTAGCCCCCTTCCGAGCAGCCATCCAGGAGCGAGTGGCCCAGGGCGAGACCGGTGAGCACAGTCTGGGGCAGGGAGGTGGCCGGCGGAGCCCTGCGAGTGCAGCTCCAGGCTCAGGCCCTTCTCCCCGCCTCCCTCCCCCCAGAAAACGTGCTGTTCTTCGGCTGCCGCAGGCGGGACCAGGATTTCTACTGGGAGGCCGAGTGGAAGCAGCTACAGGCGAGGGGCTGCCTGACTCTGGTTACGGCCTTCTCCCGAGAGCAGGTGTGTGCCAGGCGGGGGGCAGAGAGGGACGCCCAGGGCGCAGACTCAGACCATCCCCCGCCCCCGCCCTGCAGGAGCAGAAGGTGTACGTGCAACACCGGCTCCGGGAGTTTGGGCCGCTGGTGTGGGAGCTGCTGGAGGGCCGGGGCGCCCACTTCTACCTGGCAGGGTGAGCCTGGGCTGCGGGTGGTTGGAGGGACGGCCCCCTGGGGACGCCACCTGTGCTGAGCGCTGTCCCTCCTGCCCCTCCAGCAACGCCAAGTACATGCCGGCCGATGTGTCCAACACCCTGCTGTTCATCTTCCGGGAGGAGGGCGGGCTCTCTGGCCCCGATGCGGCCACCTACCTGGCCCGGCTGCAGCGGACACTGCGTTTCCAGACTGAGACGTGGGCCTGAAGGGCCACCCTGCTGTCGGCCGCAGCCACCCTGCCCGACGCTCTCCGGGGGCTGATGTTGGCTCTCGCCCTGTCTGCTCCCAGCTGGGAGGGTGGTCAGCTCGCCTGCACAGACTTCAGCAGTAGGAGGCGGCCCTGGGCAGCACACACCCGCCCTCCCAGTTCCAGGAAAGCCTCAGCAATAAACGCCGGGCTCTTGGTGGCTGCTTCCCACCTGCTCTTCTTTGTGCGGAAGTGGGCCTCGGGTGGTGGGTGTTCCAGAGAGGGTCTGGATGGAACAGCCAGCCCCTCTGGGCACGGGCACCGTGGCTCAGCCCACACTTTGGTGCCTGGGTCTGATGATGAGGGTGCCGGCCGTTTGCCCACCTTGTGCAGACTCTGCCCTTGTCCTCAGGGCCAAGCAGGAAAGGCACCCGGCCAGGCTGCTGTTGACCACCCCTTACCCGCTCAGGGAACAGCTGCCCAGAACCCCCGGGAGGGAGGGAGGGGGTGTGGCCTGGGTTGGAGAGAAGGGGTGTGGCTCAGACTGGTAGGGAGGAAGGTGTGAGTGGAGTCCCCACCCCTGGGAGGGGAATTCCTGTTGGAGGAGTTGGACTGGCCTGCCCACACGGCCACCGCCTGGAATCCAGCTGGCCGTCCCTGGCTAACACAGGGACCGAGGTGCCTGTGGCCGGGCTTGGGCAGATCCTGTCGGAGACGGCACGCTGGGCCTGGGAGCCTCCGGGGCACTGGGGCCCCAGTGAAGTTTCTAGTGGGGCCCGCAGCCAGAAGGAGGCGGCAGTTGCTGCAAGGTCAGTGCCAGAGCCTGCCCCAGCCGCGGAGGGCCACACTGACCTTCAAGGCCCCAGCCACCCCGCCGCCACCCTGGGGTCCCCACCCACCCATCCCGGCCTCTGCCCTGGAGGCACCGCCCCTGAACTGTGCCCTGGGGTCCCCACTGGTGGCCCTGCTGACCTCAGCTCTGGGCTCACCAGTCTGCCTCTGGGCCCTGAGCACTTGGACCCACCGCACCAAGTGCTGGGAGAGGATGGGTCGGGCAGCGGGGCCCTGGGGAAGCCCCAGTGTGCCGGGACTCCTGACAGTGAGCCCCTGCTGGGGGCCACGGCCACGGCCGCGGCCCCACCCTGGGCCAGGCACACAGAGGACGAGCAAGCGCAGCAGGAGGTGGAGGAGTGCCCCATCTGCATGGAGCCCTGCGGGCCTGCCCACCGCCTGGCCCTGCTGAACTGCGGCCACGGCCTGTGCACGGGCTGTCTGCACCGGCTGCTGGCCGCCGCCCCCGGCGACCTGGGCCGCGTGTGCTGCCCGCTGTGTCGCCAGAAAACCCCCGTGCTCGAGTGGGAGATCTGCCGGCTGCAGGAGGAGCTGCTGCGGGCCGACAGGCCCCCGCGCCCCCCACCCCCCACCCCGCCTCTGCCTGCCCGCCGCGGCCGTGGGCCCTGGGCCTCCCTGGAGCACCGCTACCAGCTGCGCTTCCTGCCAGGGGCCGTGGGAGGCCGAGGCTGCCTGCCCTTCCTGCCCTGCCCGCCCTGCCTGGGCGCCTGGCTCTGGGCCCTGCGGGGACGCGGGCCCTGCGCCCGCCGCCTGGCGCTGCTGAGCCTGCTGGCGCTCGAGCTGCTTGGCCTGCTGCTCGTCTCCACCCCACTGCTGCTGCTGGGGCTGCTCTTCGCGCTGCTGGACGGCTCCCGCCGCTGACGGCCACACGCCTGCCGCCGGCACGGCCTGTGCCTGGGCCTGGGCCAGCCTGAGTGCCGGGGCCCCGGGAGCATCCTGCCCTGAGGCCCGATGACCGGGACGCTAGCTGTCATCCTGGGGCTGGACAGGGCAGCCCTGCAGCCTGCGTTCAGACTCTGACCCAGCCCGAGACGTCTACTGTCCAGACACGAACTGCCGGCGCCCAGCACGGCACTGGAGGAGGTCTGTGGCCAGGGCTTCGAGAGCCCCTCGATGGACAGGCCCCACCCCGCTGCTGGGTCTCCTGCCCGGCTGGTCTGCAGGAGGGGGTGCCGTGGACCCAAGTGTTCCCTGAAGGTCAGGCAGCCTGTGGGGCCCCTGCTGCACAGGTCCAGGCCACAAAGGGCCCCCTCACCTGGGCTGTCGGGAGCCCAGCGGACCCGAGCAGCCTGGGTGTCAGCACACGCCCCTCCACTTCGAGGGCCCAGGCCCCACCGGGTCCTGCAGCCAGAGACTGCCACCCGGGCCCCAGCTCTCCCGACCCCGCCGCAGCGCCCCTCCCTGAGCCTGCAGCCTGCGCCTGACGGACACTGTCACAGGCCCACCTCACGGGCTCATCGGTACTGGGGGCGGCTCTCAATAAACAGGGACTGCGACCGATGCTGTCGTTTCTGCATCGCCCTCCCCTCTCCCCTGCCTTCACCAGCCGGGCGATGGTTCCTTCTCCAGATGCAGTCGTCCAGTGCCGGCCAGGAGGCCCTGTACCCCACTGTAGCTGTGGCCAGCCTTTGTCCCAGCCCCAGCTCAGACAGGCCCCAGGGCTGTGCCCACAGGGAGTCAGGCGGGCTCTGGGGCCCAGGTGGGCTGCCTCGTGCCCCCGGCTGCACTCACTCCCAGTGGCCAGTGCAGAGAAGGTGCCCTCCCTTTGTCCAGCTGGCCCTGTTCTGCCCAGCCGCTCCCACAGTCCTGCCCGGAGCACATAGGTGGCTCACGCACATGCACACGTGTGCACACAGAGGCCCTGCCTCACCCACAGTGAGCAGAGCAGGCTGACCCCAAGTACTGGGCCTCCCTCTGGCTGCTCAGCCTGGACCCCACTGGGGCTGCCGCTCTGGGTGCCCACTCCCCCTGGCCCGGGCCTGTGAGCAGGCCTCGGCTTCGGTGCAGGGCACGAGGTGCAGGCTTTGGCAAAGAGTTTTAATGGCAGAGTTGGCTGCAGCGACAAAGCCACGCGGGTGGGGCCAGAAGCTGTGGTGGGCACGGGGTTAGCGGGCAACAGGGCAGGGCCAGACCTCTGAAGCAGCGGCGAGCAAGGACTGGCGGGCGGTGGCAGGCAGGCTGGTGGGCGCTACATGATGGAGCAGGCAGACAGCGGGTTCCGCACGTGGCAGGTGCACGCGGCCCCGCAGTACTGCCGGAAGGTCTGGTAGCAGCTGCCCTCGGGCTCACCACCCCACTGGCCACCCGACGGGGCGGTCAGCGCCTCAGGCGGCAGGCGGCTCAGGATGGATGTGTTGATGGCCAGCGCAGCCAGGCCGTAGTCAGTGAAGAGCACAGTCTCGCGGCGGCACGTGGGGCAGGAGATGAACTTATACTTGGGGCAGGACTCGTAGAGAATCTGCAGGCACTGCTCACACACGGAGTGCAGGCAGGACAGCACGCGGGGCCGCCTCTGCGTGGCGTTGTACGTGTGCCCACACGTCGGGCACTCCAGAGGCTCCCCCGCAGCCGCGGCCACCGCCGCCGCAGGGGCCCCCGGGGCCGCAGGGCCAGGCCGGATCACGTACTGGTTCACGATGACCTCGTCCGCTGGTGCCACCCGGGGGAAGCCTAGCTCGGCGCTGCCCTTGCGGGGCCGCCGTGGCAGAGGCGGGGTGCAGGGCGCCCCTTCCAGGGCGGGCATGTCCCCCCCACAGGCCTGGTTGACGATGATCTCTGTGTCTGAGGGCCAGGCTCGCTTGGGTGCCAGAGCCGGGGCGGGCCGGGGCGCAGGTGGGAAGCAGGGGGCGGCCGCCTGCAGCTCGGGGAACTTCTCAGGGTGGACCATCTTCATGGCCTCCATCTTGAGGATGACATGGGGGCCCTTCAGGCAGGACATGAGGAAGCCTGGCCAGCCACCGCCCGCCTCGGGCCCCGGGTCAGCCGGCATCCGGCTGTCTCCAGTCAGACTGGGTGCTCGGGTGGGGGGGGGAGTTGGGTGGGGCCGGGGGGGTGGCGAGGGGACAGCATCCCGGCTGCCCTGTGGACTCCTGGGGGAGGCGGGCAAAAGCTTGGGGGGAAGGGCCCCCCCCAGCGGCCACAGTGGCTTCTCAGGTCCGGTCCTTGGAGGAGGAGGAAGGGGCGGGGGAGGAGGAGAGGGGCAGGGGCAGGGGGGTGTGGGCAGCTGCCCTGGGCCTGAGGTGGGGCCCAGGGGCTCACCCAGGGTCTCTGGCCTCTGAGGCTGGCCAGGGGGCGTTGCAGGAGATCCCCCTGCAGCCGAGATCAGCCGTCCCGGGGCCCGGACATCCGGGCAGGCAGAGGCTAGGTGGGCCCCATGGCTCCAGGACAGGGCGCCCAGGGAAGGCAGCTAGCCTGAGCGCGGGCCGCCAAAGGACCCGGGCGGCAAGCTTGGGGTTGGCGGCGGAATCGCAGGAGAGGCCGGGGCTGGGCCGGAGCTGCAGGTGAGAGACGGCGTGAGGTCAGCGCCCGGGCCCACCCCTACCCTGTACAAAAGACGGGGCGCCCGACCTCTGACCCCGACCCTCGCCAGACTCGGAACCCAGCCCCTTCCGCAGCCCCCCGCGCCCGAGGCCCGACCTCTGCCCAGGAGTGGGGGCAGGCGAGCGGCGACCCCGCGCTGTCCCGCCCCGCCCGCACTCACCTGCCCCAGCCTGGCGTCCCCGGGCCGGGCCGCGCGCCGCCGCCTCCGCAGAGGTTGTCTCAAAGGCAGGCCTGGATGCGGCGCCCGAGCCTTGGCCCGGCGGCTCCGGAGGCTCCGGCGGCGACCTCGGGCGATGGCCGGGCCTCGGCGGCTCCCAGGGGCGTGGGGCGCGGGCGCGGGGCTCGGCGCGGCGGCGGCAGCGGCGGCGGCAGGTGCGTGCGGAGCGTGGCGCGCTCTGCGGCGGAGGCGCGGGGACCGCAGTGCGCGCGGCGCCCGCAGCGCCACCCCCCGTCTGGGGACCCGCGCGGGGTCCGCGGGGCGGGGCCAGTCTCTCTGCCGCCCCTCGATCCGCCGCGGGCCTGGCGCCCGCTCTGGGGGTCGCCCTCCCCTCCCCCCGCGGGCCCCGTGGGGGTCGGGATCCCTACGGCAGGCCCCCTCCCGTCTCCCCCACCTCCGGCCCCGCCTGCTGACCCTGGGTCCTGGTCAAGCCCCCTGCCCCGATTCTGGAAGGGAAGGAGTGCTCTGAGATCTCACAATACCAGAGGGAGGAAGTGGAGAGGGAGCCCTGGGGTGGTCCCAGGAAAGCCGGCCCCCAGCCCCCACCGTGAGACCATCATGTGTCCTCTGCAGAGGCAGGGTCTCTGCCAGTCCTTCCCCTCGGCCCCCAGAGAATGCCTCTGGGCTGTTCCGGCTCACAGGTGCCCAGCTCAGGCCGGCTGAGGGCAGAAGAGGGTGAGCAGGAGTGGGCAAGCACACGTTGGAGGAGTGGAGGATGGAGGAACGTTGGCTGGGAGAATGCTCCAAGGACAGGACAGTGGAGCAGATGGGTGGTGTAAGGGGAGCGCAGAAGGTCAGACCGACGACAGGACAGGCCCCATGGGGCAGCTCATGGAGGACACGCACCTACACAGACGGGCGGGGTGGCCTTTCCGGCACCCTACCAGGTCAGCAGGTGCCCGGTCGTCACACAGCTGTGTGCTAACCTGACCCCACCCAGCAAGGTCCCATTCCTTTCTGCTTCTTCCTGGGGCCATACTTCCCTGCCCCCCAGGATACACCCTCTGCCTGTGAGGAGCTGTCAGGTGAGGGGGAGGGCAGGGAACTGGGGTGGCCTGGGCCTGCGGAGTGCCTTTCCCTAGCCTGCTGTGGCCACTACGTGGCTTGCTGGCATTCCTTTGACCAGCACTGGGCCCTGCTTCTGACCCTGGACAGACCCAGCTCCTCTGGCCACAGAGGCTCTGCTCTGTTACAGGCTAGGGTGCCCCTGGCTATAGACCTGAGCCCGGCTCCTGCAGGGCAGCAGAGCCCAGCGCGGTCGGCATTCCTGATGAAGGGCCCCACGTGGGCAGGAGCCTGGAAATGCGTTCTGGGCCCACAGGCCTGACTTTGCTGTCTCTGAGACCTCAGTTTAGTGCCTGCCCTTCAGTGTCACCCACCACTCGGGTGTGAGAGCTGTTCACGTGAGCAGGTGCCCAACGGAGGGGCAGCGAGGGGCCCTGGCCTCCGGAAACTGAGGCAGCCTCGTCCAGGCGAGGGCTGGGGGCCTAACCTGGGCAGCCGCTCTGCTCAGGCCCCTCCTGCCCCAACTCGAGGCCCCGCCCCGTGCTCGAGGCCCCGCCTCTGGGCTGAGGCCCCGCCCCGCCCGGGCCCGGAAGCGCAGCACCCGGGCGGCCCAAGCCCGGTTCTGGCGGGAAGAGGCCCGCTGACCCCGAGCCTGGTCTTTGGCAAAACCTTCGAGCGCGGAGGCTTCTGGGGACTACAGTCCGCACCAGCCGCCCGCTTCCTTCCAGGCCAGGTTTGCGCACGCGCCTGCCCCCGCCCCTCCGCCGAGGCGGACGCTGTGGGGCGGCGGGCGGGGCCCGCGGAGCCTGCGCGGTGAGCCCTGACCTGCAGGTCGGGCCGTGCGCGGTGGGCCCGCGCCATCGGCCCCCCGATTCCGGCTCTGGCCCGGTTATCCCCCGCATCCGGTGCCGCATCGGTAGAGCTTGTGCCCAGACCGGTCTGACTGGCCCCACACCGGCCGCGCGGGTCAGCTGGCCTCTGGGCCACGTCTGATTGGACCCCGCCCTTCCCGGAGGCGCGCCCCCAGCCACCCCCCCATCCCCCCACCCCGAGCGCCAAGGACGAGGGGTGCGGGCCTGGCCGCCCCAGGCGGAGCTCGGCAGTGCCAGGGCCGAGAACGCAGCTCCACTGGGACCCCGCACACAGCGGCCCCAGGGCATGGCAGGCGCCAGGCGCCACCTCAGACATGAAGCTGGGGGAGGTGGGAGGGCCGAGAATGGGGGCCCTGAGAGACGGGGGCTGCCCACAGGCCCCCGGACCAGAGCGAAACTGTAGTTTCAAAAATGAGCCTAAAATGTCACTTGTGTATGAAACTCATGTTGCCAATAGTGAAATAAGTTTTATCGGTAAAGGTATGTAAACCAAACATTTTTTATCAGTTAAAAATACAGTAAACCTCCGGGCAGAGCGGCGTGCTCACTTATACCCTGGTCTCTGCCTGCGGGGAAGAGGCTCAGGTCACCGTGCAGGCCTCTCCCTCCGCTTCAAAGCAGTGGCTTTGAGACTGTGGGTGACGGCCAGGCACCAGACCATCTGCGGCCCTGACCCAGGCTCCTGTCCTGCATTCTGGTGACCTGCTGGCTCCCCGAGGGCCAGGACATGCCCCAGATGGGTCAAGGCTGAATCAGCCAGGCTGGCAGGGTCCCTGGGAGCCCAGACCTGGCCACCGCCCATCCAGGAAAGGAAGGGTGGGTGGCTGCTATGCTGCAGGACCTGGGGCCTCCTGGCATCTTGGGAACCCCGGCTTTGAGCCCCGCCCGAGGCCCCGCCCCTCCCCAGGAGGAAAAAGGCAGCTACCAGAGGCTCAGCTCACACGCACGGGGACCGGGACAGGAGGACAGCTCGCCGCCATCTCCGCTCCAGGTGGGTCCTGGGCTAAGGAACTTCCCCACCCGCAGTCGGACCGGCTTAGCTGCGTCTCCCAGCCCCCCCACCCCGCTTCCAGCTCCATCACAGGGCCCTGCCGCTCAGGGAGGGCGAAGGATACCTGGGGACAGCTGAGAGATGCTGGCCCTCACGGTCCCTACACTCTCTGCCATCTTGCACACACACACACAGGCCTTGCACTCTCAGGCACTTCCATGACCTGGCTTATCTTGGGATGCAGCTGTTGCCCTCCATGGAGGTGACTTTGTCTCCTTTGCTCACCCTTGCCAGGCTGGGCCATGGACCCCCATGAGATGCTCGTCAAGAACCCATATGCCCACATAAGCATCCCGAGGGCTCACCTGCGGCCTGAGCTGGGGCAGCAGCTGAAGGCGAGCCCGTCCTCTGCAGAGTCGCAGCCTCTGCCCGTGCAGGCCTGCACCCTGGAGCCTCCAGAGGAAGCCCCGGGGCCCAAGGGCGCCAAGGGGACTGCCTCCATTTGGGGCCAGCCGGCCTGTGAGCAGCCCTGCAAGCCCTGTGGCAGCGGGCAGCGCCCAGCAGGACTGGCCTACGCCGGCCCGCCGCCCATCGGGCGCGGCGACGACATTGCCCATCACTGCTGCTGCTGCCCCTGCTGCTCCTGCTGCCACTGCCCCCGCTTCTGCCGCTGCCACAGCTGCTGCTGTGTTGTCTCCTAGCCTGGCCCCCACTGGCCCCGAGGCCCGGCGCTGCCAGTGGGCCTCTGCTCAGGCGGCCACGGCAAGTGCCTGGACAGTTGGGACCACCACTGTGATGTTGTCATGGGCACTGGCCGCTCCCCTCTCTAGACAGCTGCACCTCACCCACTGGGAAGGCTAACAGGTCAGCCCAGGCCCCTGGAACGGAGCCCTGGGCACTGCCTGTGCCGGGGACACCCTTGACTATCTCTTCGAGGCCCAGGCCCAAGCAATAAAGCCATGCGAGCTCTGTCCTGGACGCTTCTTTCTTGCCACCGTCCCCTTTGGGAGGGTCCCAGGCTAAATGCCAGCCGAGACCACCAGCCTCTGTGGGACAGTCAGGGGCAGGGCAGCCTCAGGGCATCCTGACCTGCGGCCTCAGGTTGGCCCACGGGCTGGACAGGAAGGCCAGTCGGGGGCAAGTCAGACGGCAGGAGGATGCTGTGCGTGGAACCGGGCCCCGAGCCCGAGACAAGCCTCCCGGAGGAGGGCCCGGGTGGCAGCACCGTGGTGGGTGGAACCAGCACGGGCAGGTTTCCGGGGGTGGGAGCCCTGGGCCTAGCGCGCGGCCAGCCCACACGTGAGTCAGTGCCCTGCCTCGGCCGCTGTGTCTTCCTGCTTTCCCACAGAACACCCCGGTCCCTGACGTCTGCCGTGTGCTGCTCCCCACTGCCCTGCCTCTGGGTCCCGGGCTCTGTGGAGGTGGGCAGACGGTGCCGGGCCAGACCCATCTCCCAGCTGTCTGAGCAGCTCGGCACACCTGCGTGGGGGGCCTGGGGTGAGGCAGGGAAGCGCATGTGCAGGGGGAGCATCCAGGCCAGCACCAAGCACCTTGACACTCTCGGGACAGGGCAGAGAGCTGGAGGAGGCAAGCTGGCTTCACAGGACGGACGGGTCCTGGTGACAGCCCTCCCCTGACCCCTGGTGACTGGCCGCGTGGCAGGACCGGTCTCTGGGTGTGGGCAGACATGTCATTGACCTGACTACACGGGGACTCAGACATGCCAGGTTCCCGGCCCCTGCCCCCTGGCTGGCCCCCACAGGAAGGTACCCCACCCGGGGCTGCCACAGAAACCCGTCCAACCAGCCCAGGAGGCCGAGGATGCCAGGCTGGTGGGAGTAAGGAGGGGCCCTCTGGCCCTTGGCCTCCTCCAGCGGGGGAGGTGCTGGGGTCTGACCCCCCCCAGTCCTCCCTGACACACCCCATCCTGCTTTGCCACCGGGCTGGCCCCGGGGCCTCGGCCAGGCGTATGCTGGGGGGTGTTGGCCTCTGAAGGGGCGTTTGGGGCTTTCCACAGCGCCCTGCGCCTGGGAGTTTCTGGGTGGTCCGTCCACTCCTGTGCTCACGGGCCTCCTCGTGGGGCTGGCTTGTGATGGGAACACCGAGGGGATGAAAAGGCTCTGCGACAATTCAGCACGGACTCACACACAGCGCCCGAGCCATGGGGCGGCGGGGCCTTCGGGGCTCTGAGCTGGTGGGGGTCCTGGCAGGGCTCCTGGAGGAGGTGACGTCTGACCTGAGTGCTGAAGAGCAGGCAGCACCCAGGCGGAAGCCAGGAAGCTTTCCCGTCGTGAGTGGCGGTCAAGTATGAGTGGGCGCAGGTCCAGGTGGCGAGGCAGGAGACCGGGCCGCGCTGCACGGCGTGGGGGGGCGGCAGGCGGAGCAGGGGCGCCCCGGCTCCAGCCCCGTTGGCGGTGCTGGTGGATCCAGTTGCAAGTGCTTTGTGGCTGAAAGGGGAGCCCACGCGGCCCGCAGCTACCACCTGCCTCCCCGCTGACTGGTCCACGTTCAGCCAGTAACATGAGCCCCAGGGAGGGAGCCCCAGGCGCCCCGGGTCCCCCCACCCAGCCCCCGGTCACCCTCGGTGTGGACACAGCCGCCGGGCAGAGCAGATGCAGGTAAGACAGACCTGGGGCTGGAGCAGGCTGGGGGTGGGGGGGTGGTGGGTACGAGCCTGGGACGGTGCCCCAGGGCCACCGAGACCGGACCACAGGCCAGGCCACTGCCTGACCGGCAGTCACAAGGGCTGAGCCTGCGCCCAGGCCCCGGTGTTGGCCAGCCCCACCGGCCACCGCCCACCTCCGAGGTCTGCAGAGGCCTGGGCTCCCGTCCTCTGGGGCCGGGGGAGCACTTCCTGTGCTGAGCCCAAACCTGGGGGACGCTTGCAGAGGCTGTACCGCGCCCCCATCCCTCCCCAGGATGCTGCTGCCGGAGGGGCCCCCAGCCTCTGAAGACGCCACGGCCGCTGGGCCCCAGCGCGGCGACTGCGTCATCTGCTACTCGGCCTATGACCTCACCGGGCACCTGCCCCGCCGTCTCTACTGCGGCCACACCTTCTGCCAGGCGTGTGTGCGGCGGCTGGCCACGCCAGCCCCTGAGCAGTGCTGGGTCCCCTGCCCGCAGTGCCGCCAGAGCACGCCCGTGCCCCGCGGAGGGGTGGCCATGCTGGACCTCGATCTGGCCGCCTTCCTGGCCATCAGGGCCGGGCGGGGGCCGTCTCGCCTGGAGCTGCAGCCCCCGGGGCCCCGCAAGGGCAGCCCCACCATCACCCAGCAGCCGGCCAGGCTCCTCCCCATGTCGAGCCCCACGCCCCACTTCCCCCAGTCCGGAGGCTGCTGCCCAGCATGCCGTAGCCTCTGCTGGGATCCCCCAGGCAGTCCCCAGCTCTGAGCTCTGCTGGGCGCCGCCCCTTGGAGGGGAGCCTTGGCCTGCAGCACGAGGCATGGCCTTCCAGAAACAGCCCGGCGGCGGGGTGCCCCAGTTGCCGCCCCGCGTGTTCGCTGAGGGGCCACCATCTAAGGTCGTGAGCTATGCCCACAGCGCAGTGCGCCCCTGCAGGAGCTGGAATCTAGGCCAGGACCCCCAGGCCCCACGGTGGTCTGTGTGCACTGCGGGGGCGCTGCTGTCAGAGTCGCCTGCGAGCCCAGCCCAGGTCTGGACGCGGCTCAGAGGCGGCTCCTGAAAGGGTCTGGGGGCCAGTGTCTGGGCCTGGGCTGCAGGCTGGGGGAGGTACGCAGGGCCCGCAGAGGCTGCTCCTGGCCCTGTTGGAGCAGGCCCCCTCCTTACAGAGCCCTGAGCCCGGCGGGAGGTGGCTGCCTGCACCCTGACCTGCGAGGTGGCCCTGTGACGCCCACCCGCTCACTGCCCCGGGCCTCCGCTGTGTCAGGCACTGTTTGGGAAGGGTCCCTGCAAACACGGTGGCTGCTACTGCAGTAGGTGTGCAAGGAAGTCCAGGCCGGGGGGTGACTGCTGAGGGGCGCGCAGGACAACCGCCCCCTCCCCGGGCCCATGGCAGCCTCTGCCTCCCAGCGGTGGCCACACAGACCCTCAGAGGGACTGGAGACAGACCCCACCGGTCAGACTGCTGCACGCCCACCCCCGCGCGGGAAGAAGGGGCTGTCGCTCAGGACCCCTGGAAGGGCCGAGGGGCCCGCCCCAGCCGTGGGGGGCAGGATGGGAGGGACGGGCCAAAGAATGTGCTGAGAGGACACTAGGAAGCTTCCTCCTTCCCAGGGACAAAGTCCCCCCGGCACTGGCGGTTGGTGGACAACAGGCAGGGGCTCGAGACACCAGCTAGCCGGGGTGGGGCTGGCCCCCGCGGGACCGCTCACCCTCCCTGCATCCCTGGAGTGGGAAGGGGCCTGACTCCAGAAAGAGGCACCCATGAGTGAGGGGGCCGGACTCAGCTGGGGAGAGAGCCGGGTGGGCTCGGGCGCCGGGCTGAGCAGCAGTGTGGCCTGGGGTGAGCCCTCCCACCCCCTCCCACTTGCAGAAGAAGTCAATGACACCTGTGACTGTGACCGTTGCTGGTCACCTCTGGGGCTGCGCCACTTGGGATCCCTGCCAAGCCCTGAACTGGATGATCTCGGGGGTTGCTGCCCTCCCCGCCCACCTGGCGCAAAGAGCTTCCTTCTGGCCATGTGACCGTGGCAGGACAGGCACGAGAAGGCCTGCAGAGATGAGGGCAGACTTCCTGAGGGGTCTCCAGGCCAGCCGGCCAGCATGCCAGCATCCTGCCTGCCGCAGGCAGCCAGCATGCAGCATCCTGTCGTGTCCCTCAGACGTCCACGTGCGGGAGCCCAGCTCGGGGCCAGCTGCCCAGCCCTGCTCACTGCCGGGTAATGGTGGGGCCTGGAAGAGGCAGGCACCCAGGGCTGCGACAGTACCCCTGGGGGGCCCTGGCTCCTGGGTAAACATTAATGGGCTCAGTACACAGCAGGTCATGTGTGCGCCCAGCTAATCTTTGACCTGCAGCTGCTCTCAGCCCGTGTCTCCTCCCCGAAGGTGCCCTCACTGCCCACACAGGTAGGAGCTTCTAGGACCAGGTGGGGGCCCAGGACACTGGGGTCAGGGCTGGGTGACCTCCAGGCCCAGTGAGGCCCACCTCACTCTCCAGCAGTTGAGGTTGAGAAACCAGCTTGGGGGCAGCTAGAGGGAGAGGTTACCGCAGGCTCCCCAGGACCCGGGCCCTGGGGGCTCCAGGCCCAGCAGGCTGAGGAAGGAGCCTTGAGGCGGGGTGGGGCATCAAGCCCCTTGTCCTGCTCCCCATAACTGGGAGTGGGCCCTTATCAAGTTGCTGTTTGGTACCAAATGCCAAAGTCTAAGCTGTGACCGTCTGCAGTGGTCTCTATGACACCCGATAGGAGACGCCCCGGAGTCCCGACCACTTCCGGCTACACCCTAGCACTAGGGTCACCCACCAGCCCTCCTTCCAGCCAGAACCAGCGGCGAGCCAGGGCTCCTTCCACCCTGTCCCCTTAAACTGGACTGCGCTCACCTGACAGCCACCTGGGGTCACTTTAGCCATCCCCCTGCGGACGGAGGAAGGGGGAGACCACCGAGGCCAACAGCAGGTGGGAAGGGGGGCCGGTGGGAAGGTCTCGGGCTAGGGCACCCCAAGAGGTGGCAGGCAGGGGCGACGTTGAACTGCCCTTCTCCCTGGCAGATCTGGGTTTGGGCCTGGGTCTGTTCCTGCCTGAAA